AATTCACCAGATGACTCCCCTGAACTCTTTCTTCTGACATCCTCGCCAAGAACGAGATCTCGAATCTGATCAAAGGTGAATCCATCGGGTCCCACTGAACCGGTAACTGCTGTAACCGTTCCGGACCAACTATCAGGTAAAGACGATAGCAGTAGCAAAGCTTGAACTTCATCATCGAACTTAATGCCCACTGACAATAGTCTGGCTAAGATCGAATTCAACTTGTTGATATGCTCGGTAACTGAAGTGCCTTCTTTCATTTTTGTGTTCACCAGCTCTCTTATCAGAAAAACTTTGTTCGCTGCAGATGGCTTCTCATACATGTTAGACAGCGCGTCCATAATTCCCTTCGATGTCTTCTCCTTCAGAATGTTGAACGCAACATTCTTGGTCAATGAGAGACGGATCACGGGCATAGCTTTCCGATCCAAACTTGCCCAATCTGCATCCGACATCTTTTCTGGCTTGTCGCCCAATACCACATCCCAAATCTTTCTGAACCAGCAAATCTTCAATTTGCATCTTCCACCAACTGAAATCTGTACCATCAAACTTCTCAATTCGGAACTTCCCGTCTTCTGCCATGTCACACGACTAGACGAGATACCCGGTACAACTAATTTCAGATCTTGGTTATTCCGTCAGAAAAATAAGAACAAGAACACTTCTCACCAATCCAAATCAAAAAAGGCCCAAATCACTCCAAATAAAGCCTAACCAAACCAAAAAAAAAACAAAGAAAAAGGGATGGGGGCTGACCAAATGACACTTAATTTGGCCCACTGCCCGGCCCACTCACTTTTTCTTTTTTTTCTTGGCTGTTCAATGGCGATGCTGGCATCAACTAATCTGCGGCTGCACCTTCTCCTGGCACGACGGCGGCGATTCTGACAACGGCTTCTGCGCACGGCTAGCGGCAGCGGCTGGATGGACTCGCAGATGCTCCTCTGCGCGCGACTGACGGCGAATCTGGCTGCGCGCGCGACTGAAGGCGGCAGCGGCTTCTCAGCCCGGCGTTGGCTCCTTCGCTGCTGAGGTCCCCCTCGAACCAGCGGCAGTCCTCTCCTTCACAACGGCGATTCTAACGCCACGGTCCTCTGTGCGCGGCTAGCAGCGACGCTCCTGTGTTGCTCGCGATGGTCAACTGACGGCGGCGGATCTACTACGCGACGACGGCGACAAGACCCAGCGGCGACGATCTGATCTGACGGTGGCGGCGCGATCTGAAACGGCGCGGCTTCGCGGCGGCTCCTCAACCTGGCGGCCGGCAGATCTCCTCTGCGCGCGGCTTCACGGCAGCGGCTAAGATCTGGATTGCGCTGGCACGTACGGTTCCCAAGAACCCTAGGCGACAAATTTTTCTCACAATTTGTGTTCTCGTGTGAATAATCTGGCTCCGATACCACTTGTTGGGGATTAAACACGCAACACACACAAATATCTGCGAGAATCAAGAGAGAAACGGAACACAAACGACACACAAGAATTTAACGTGGTTCGATTTCCCTAATCCACGGCTGCAACGGGAGGATTTTCTTATTTCACTTGTGGTCCCGATTACAAGTACAAGAATGCAATATATATAGGAAGAGTGCATCTAGGGTTTCGTAAAATGGGTCGGGCCAAAAGTCAAGCCCAAGCCTCCATCAAACCCAACAATATTCTCCTGTGATTTGTGCCTACGCGCTTACGTCTCTTAGATTTTTTAGGCCCATTATCGTACTCCCTCTGTCACAAATTATAATGCCTGTTTACTATTCACAGGGTCAAACTTCATTCATTTTCTTTCTCTATTTTTGTTAGCAATTTGATAAAATAAAATATTATTATCACTACTAGTTTTGTAGATCTTTTGATGTAGTTTTTTTATATGTAATTTTTATTTTTTAATTATATACCATTTGTCAAATAAAATGGTTTGAAAATAATTTCAGTCAAACATCGTAAACCGAAACAGGCGTTATAAAATGGGACGGAGGTAGTATCTAATAGTATCAACTTATTAATATAGGCCCCATTTGACATCAGTGTTAGAGATTAGGGTTAGCCTTTTAAAAAAGCTATGCGACGGTAGCCTTTAGCGTTAGGGTTTTTCGAATTAATCTACACTGTTAAATTTTATCCAAAACACTAACGCTAATTGAAAACGCTCTTCCCAAACAAGGTCATACTCCCTGCGTCTCTAAAAGATTTTCACAGTTTGATTTTTTGTCAAATTTTGGCACTCTTTTACCATGAGTATAGTTTTAAGATATCAAATAATTATAATATTTTATTCTTTTAAATTATATTTAATTCATGGTCAAAGAATGTCACATTTTGACCAAAAAAGTCAAACTGCGACAATCTTTTAGGGACGGAGGGAGTATCTAGTCACATAGATCTCCTAGACAATATTAAAGGGTTAAATTTAACTCATTTTATTTGCATGTATTTATTATTCATTTCATAAAAAAATAATATTGTCGTCTCTTGTTTTATAGAATTTTTAATGTAATCTTTTACTATATATGATTTGTTTTTAAATTTTTCACATACAATCAACTAAATTGAATTAAAAATAAAATTGGTCAAATATCGTAACACGTAATGGAAAATCTATGCAGGACGGAGGGAGTGTGAAGAACAATTTATTGGAACGAAATTTAATTTAATCAAACCAAAATTCTTTTGAGTGCTAATCAAACCCAATTTGATCACAATGTTCTTTAAAAAATCTACTCCCATCGCCCTTTAAGAAAGATTCTCATTTGTTTTTTTTTGCAGTCAAAATTAAAAATTTAGCCACATAATTTGAAAAAAAAATTGAATAATGATGTAAATTTAATATCATATGATTTATCTTGAATTTTATTTTTTTTTGAACCAATCTTGAAACTTATTTTTGAAATACTCGATACCATTTATTTATAAAGTGTATTTATGTATAAACATACAGACTCGATTGAACATTGCACAATTCAGAAATCACGATAAATTTATTCATTTCTGTATCTTCAATGGTTATTTGATAATGGTTTTGATTTAGAAAACTATGTTTTTTTAGAGGAATTGAAAACTATGGTTATAATATAGTTCAATGTGTCAAAATATACTTTTTATAGGCCTACATTATTATTTTTGTTGTTTAACAACATTTTTTTTGTTTCTCCAGATTTTCAATGTACACAACTGCCCTGCCCCCCACCCTATATCTCCGGCCGAGAGAACATTCCGTACTTAAAATTTTTTGGTGATTTTCTTTTCCTTAAAAAAAAAACTGCAGCAGACAGAACAATGGGGGGAACGATATACCTCACGTGCCAAGCAACAAAAAGAACAAAAAATTCACCCCTCCCGCGTGTGGGGGTTGTCTGCTATTCTAAGATGACCCTCACTTGAAGTGTCTATAATGAATTATTGAAGTAGTCGACGAGCGTTGCACAGTTGACAAGGCAAGAAGTGACAAAGCAGTTGACTGTGTTAGGAGACAACTGTGTTAAGCGTAGGGCATCTGCAAGTATCGGGAGCAGATTTCACTCTTTGCCACCAATCTGCGATCAAAGTCTAATTTACATCCTCTAAGTGGCCGTCCGGCCGAGTTTTAGGGGGGCCTCAGGGATGGGGCTCATCCTTTTTCTTATAATGAATTATTCATGCATACCGCATCTGCAAGTACCAGGTGTAGGCTTCACTCTCTATCACCTTGTGATCAAAGTTTAATTTACCTCATCTCATTGATCGTTGAACCTGTCCGAGGGAGTTCTCGGGGTTGGGGCTCATCCTTTTTTTAATAATGAATTATTCATGTCGGTGGGCGTTGCGTAGTCGACAAAAGCAATGAGTGCTAAGGGGGTAAGGCTCGAGACAGATTCTTGGGCATCCTGGCAATAGAGTCTTTGCAAGTACCGGGTACTGGCTCCACTCCGTACCATCAATCTGTGATTAAAGTCTAATTTACACTCTCTCAGTGATCGTCCGGAAGGGTCTGAGGGACGCTCGGGGATGGGGCTCATCCTTTTTTTAATAATGAATATTCATTATTACTTTTTTGATAAATTATTTCTTCCGTCCCAAAATAATTTATATTTTTAAAATTCATTTTATTTAAAGATTGATAAAAAATTTAAAATAAAACTTACGTATTTAAAAACTATGTCAAAAACTCTACAAGACAAGAGGTAATAAGAATATTTTATTTTATTAAATATTCAATCAAGATGCATAAGTAAATAAATTTAAAAATTTCCACAACTTTTGAATAGTGAAAAGTGTAATTTTTTTAAACGAGAACGTGAAAAGTAAATGAATTTGGACACAATACATTTTTTCGTGTCAAAACGTTTAGCATTTTATGCAAGAAGAAATGAACGATTTTGAAGTCTTTCTTAATAATCTTTATTTAAAGTTTGATATTAAAAAATAAAACTAGCAAATAATTTTGAATAAATTAGCTAAAGTTTCTGTTAATTTAGAATAGTGCAATATGTTATTCATTTTGGAACCAAAAGAATATGTTCATACTTCGTATTCATGAACTTTTTTACTGTGAGTAGATACTCATTAACTGTTGATATATATATTCCATGATACTGTGTAGTTATTCTTTCTAGGCATATTTTTGAATTTATATTCCTTGACTAGAATCAGTTTTTTCCAATATTAATAAGTTTGATGATGGATGGAAGGAAGATTAATAGTCAATTAAATATAGGTAAATATGCATGGAAGAAATATTTCTGGATCAAATTTTGACTCCAAAGTCAAATAAACTTGAAAGGTGTAAATGAAGGGGGGTGTGGGCGTGTGTTCAATTAGGGCCGGGGCGGGGTAGTGGGTTAAGGGAGGTAGGAACCGTCAATTTTACGAACGAATCACCGTAGCGGCCCCAAGTCATCCCATGACATGTGGTTCCAATGTCATGGGAATCCCTCCAACTCCTCCCAGTTGAATAACTCATCATATCGAACTTTTAAATTGCTGCTTGGACTTAGAAAAAATTGAAAAAATAGACTAATTAAAGAAGTGATCTAATCAATAGCTCAACTTTGTAATTGCAAGTTTTAAAATATTTTTATAGTCTAACACACGATCGCTCGGCAGTCGTTGTAGACGACTATTTATTTTTGAAGACTATATTGATTGTAAAATTTGTTCTCGTGACCTCCAGAGCAACAAGACTTGAGTATTATGTTAAGAAAATGACTCAACAAAAAGATCAAATTTGAGGTTGTAGATCCCGATAAGGTTGTGTGCTCTCACACGTGCATGCGAGATTTATCTTTTTTTGTTAGTTTTTTGCACGTAAATATTAATTTTTAAAATTAATAAAAATGACATTTAAATTCACACAAAAGAACAAAACAAGCTTAGATTAACTGGCAGGCACTGAAGTTAATTGTCATTTGGCACTCCCCGCTTGTTAATTACGCACTAACAAGTTTAAGCTAATGTGATTAGATATTTAGATGGTTGCATGTGGAATTTCTAAAAATGGATTCAAGCTATTTTTGGAGGGCACTTTTGGTAGGCTTTCTCACATTAAAAATTCTTACAAAATTCTTCAAGCTATTACCTTAGTTTCATCATAACATT